TATTTTTCAATTATCTACAACTTTTGTTTAAAACTTTTAGATCAGCCGATAAGAGGCAAATAAGAATTTTTTTACACAAGAATGTGTGTTTTCTACATAATGGTAATTCGACGACTCTTAATCGAATAGTGCTAATTTGTTTGCAATGGCATCAAGAAAAATGGTTTAAAAGAGTAAGAAATGGACTTATCCTAGAATCTAGGCAAATATTCGTAAAAAGTTTTAAACAAAAGTTGTAGACAATTGAAAAATACAAAAAAAATGTTTTAAGGTGTATTTTAGTATTTGCAAAATAAGCGAGAAAATGAAGGTGAAAGGTAATTGTAAGAGTGAGGGCAAGCCCGCCTCTTCATTGGTCTTTACACGTGAGCAGACTAGTGTACCTTATCTTGGGGTCACTTGGTCGTGAATGCGAGTGCGAGTGAGAAACAAAACTGCTTTTTCTCTCTTTCTACTTTCTCATGCGGTAGCGAGTATTTTTCGTCTTTAGCCATCGATTGTCGAGCGTTATGTATATCTATATATATCAGCGTATAAGCGGGGCGTTTTTAGATCGAATCTTGATGCTTATGGCATGCAGTTTTTTTATTTATTGTTATAAATGTTGAACCTTGATTAAAAGAAAAACAATAATTCATTTTAACAAAAACTATTATTATTTAATCAAGAGTAAAAAAAATGAATTATTTTGTATCTGGACATAAAAATAATTTGTATAAATAATTGATATAAATTTTGTGACTAACAAAAATTTATTTGTAAATCAAATTGAATACGTATTCTTTTTATGATGAAATTTATAATTTAAAAATTTTTCCTATGAAATCATGTAATTTAGGCAATTTTATATTAAAGATATGTTGTCTCGTAAATATTTATTTGTGTATCAAATTGAATACATATTTGGAGAAGAAGAATTCTATATCTACACATAAAATTAATTCAAGATATACAGGAAATGATATTCTAAAAACGTGGAATTTATTTTTTGTCTAGACATAATTTTAATTCATTTTTATTATGTTATAAGAAAACAGTAATATATTTTTATTCAGCTTCGTAGTCATAAAAATTGGAGGAAAAGAATAGAATATTTGTCAAGTGGCGTGCTAGCGTAAGTAGTATCGTCTTCGCTTCTCGGCCTCGGTTGTTAATGTTCGGTTCTTCGTAGGGGAATTATTTTTTTTTAAGTTTTTCTTCCTTAAGTTATTCAAATTCTTTTTACGTTTCTTAATGTTTCATTATATACAGGAAAGAAAATTAAAATATTACAAAAAATTTGAAGCAAGACATTTTTTACCATCTTACGTAAATAAAGGAAAATTTATCTCACTTGAATTACAGTTAATATTTTATTTTTTTAATTTAAAAATATATTATTTTTCAATATAGTAACAAATTACAAAGACATATATTCTAATCATTGTCGAGACACCTAAAAGAATTTATTGCAACGGAAAATTCGGATGAGATGCATAAATATAAAGATACCCGACAATGGGTTTTACAAAAAATAAGGAATATATGTTTGTGATCACGGAGTCTTACTCCGTTGACAAATATCGGAAGATTGTTTACAGCTTCCTGCCTACCGTGTTCGGTGTCCTATCATGATTCCTAGATCTTGGAGAGGGGTGTATTTTGACAGCAACCACCACTCCAAGGTCACACCGGTGCCCATGGTGGGGCATACCTTATAAGTGGCGAGGGAAGATCACTACGTCTCAGTTTTACTTGATCAGTCAGTTGATGCAGTTGTCTATATAGTCCAGTAAAAAAGAGGCAAACTTACATTTCTTCTGATATAAAGGTAACTCGACGACATTGAATCGAATGGTGTTAATTTTTTTGCAATCGGATTACAAAGTATTTGAGAGAAAGGATAAAAAAGGGTAAAAAGTGACCATATCTTAGAATCTACAAATTTAATCGGAAAAAGTTTCAAACAAAAGTTGTAGACAATGGAAAAATACATAAAAAATGTTGGAAAGTTTATCTTCGTATTTGCAAAAATAAGCGAAAACTATTGGTTAAACGTTATAGCCCTGTCAAAAAAAGGCAAACTACCAGATTTTCTGATAGTTGTGAAAAAACTTGATATAATGGTAATTCGAAGACGCTGAATCGAATGGTGTTAATTTTTTTGCAATTAGATCACAAAATCTTTGAGAAAAAGGGTAAAAAAGGGTAAAAAATGACTATATCTTAGAATCCAGGCATTTAATCGAAAAAAGTTTCAACCAAAAGTTGTGCACAATTGGAAAATTCATTAAAAATATTTCAAAGTGTTTCTTCGTATTTGCAAAAATAAGCGAGAAAATGTAGGTGAAAGGTAATTGTAAGAGAGGGAGCAAACCCGCCTCTTCGACGATCTTTACACGCGAGCAGACTAGTGTACGTTAACTTAGGGTCTCTCGGTCGTGAATACGAGTGCGAGTGAGAAAAGAAATGAATAATATTTCTTTAAGCGATAGCGATTCTTTTTGTTTGGGCCATCGATTGTTGAGTGTTCTGTATTATATATTTCTGATATTTTTTCATGCTGTAGCGAGAATTTTTCGTCTTGGCCATCGAGTGTCGAGCGTTATGTATACGAGTGCGAGTGAGACAAGAAACAGATATTTCTCTCTTTCTAATTTTTTCTTCAGAAGCGAGAATTTTTCTTTTTTACGATCGAGTGTCGAGCGTTCTGTATATCTATATATATATCGGCGTATAAGCGCGGCATTTTTGAATCGAATCTTGATGTTTATGGCACGCCATCTTTTTATTCATTGCCAAAAATAGTGTACCTTGATTAAAAGAAAAACCATAATTCATTTTAACAGAAACTATTATTATTTAGTCAACAAATTATGTATTTTTGGAAATTTTAAATTAAAGATTTGTTGTCTCCTAAATATTTTTCTCTGTATGAAATTGAATACATATTTGAAAAAGAAGAATTTCATATCTACACATAAAAATAATTCAAGATACACAGGAAAGGATATTCTAAAAACGTGGAATTTATTTTTTGTCTAGACATAATATTAATTCATAAATAAAATTAAATTCAATAAGTTTTTCTATCCTTAAGTTATACTAATTCTTTTTACATTTCTTAATTTTTATTATTACTCCAGTCAATAAAGGAAAACTTGGTAAATTTAGCTAGCTTGGAAAACTTGATCTAATGGTAATTCGACGGCGCTGAATCGATTGGTGCTAATTTTTTTGCAATTGGATCAGGAGATCTTTGAGAAAAAGGGTAAAAAAGGATAAAAAGTGGCCATATCTTAGAATCTAGGCATTTATTCAAAAAAAGTTTTAAACAAAAGTTGTAGAGAATTGAAACATACATAAAAAGTGATTTAAGGTGTATCTTCGTATTTGCAAAAATAAGCGAGAAAAT